TTTAACTCCCTGGAAATCTGTTACTCCTCTCACAGAGTTATTTTAACTCCAAATTTGGAGTTAAACTAACCTTAAAATTTTAACTCCACCAAAAAGGAGTAATAGGGGAGTTATTTTAACTCCCTGAAAATAACAGTGTATGATTTGACAGTAATAGCACGACGTTTTTCGTTCTATTATCTATTAATCGTATACATTGTGTAATCGGATTATATATCAAATGAACCCCACGTCAACACGTCCCCCTCTCCGCTTATCGAAGGCTTTGCCGATATTAGTGAACGATAAATGCTTCGATTTATAAGGATTTTCTTAAACCTGCTTCTTGTCATACAATTCTTTTAAGATTAAAACTTTGAAAAACAATGCGCATACCGTGTTATGGTATTAATTAAAGTAAAAATGACAAAACATGATTGAACAACTACAAGCTGTATACAGTGTGTCCGAAAAAAAAGGCTACCCATTGAAGTCAAGCGATAGTGCCGCATTTTCGCATTTGAATGCTTTAACTCCCTAATGAGCCCTGGGATGCGTAAAACGTTATACTGTACAGTGTGTCCCCCAAAAAAGGCTACCCTTTCCAGTCAAGCGCTAGTGCCGCATGTTCCAATTTGAATGCTTTAACTCCCTAATGAGCCCTGGAATGCGTAAAACGTTATACTGTACGTAGTCAATTATATTCATGCATTCCATTCTGTCTTATTTTACCGGAACAAATTTCAATTAATTTGCAATGCATGCATAAAAATGCTCTGCTATAACGTTTTACGCATTCCAGGGCTCATTAGGGAGTTAAAGCATTCAAATTCGAACATTCCGCTCTAGCGCTTGACTTCAAAGGGTAGCCTTTTTTGGGGACACACTGTATATGTCTATTGTTATGTACTATTTAAAACACGAGTAGGTTTTGTCTGATAAAACACGACAACGAGTGATTTGAATAGCTTGAAATACGACTGCAAAAGAATACTAATTAGGATGAACAATTATATAATGTCACATCACAGGAGGCCCACGCTCGATTTGCCCGCGCCCGCCTGTGCCTTCCTTATAACGAGGGAAGGAAGGAAACATTGAGACCAAAATAGCCCAGACTGGCATATGTCACACGAAACTATCCTCGATTTTTCG